CCCAGAGAGAGGAGGGGGCCAGGGAGGGGTCTAGAGACCAGGGGCTCGCAGCATTGGACACTGGCTGCCCCAGACACCCTGCCCCTGGCTTTGAGTGGACACACCTGGTGTTTTTCTGGGGTTCAACTGGCAGAGGAGATGGAGACCCCCTTAGGGAACTGGACCTGGAGCCCAGAAGGGATCAGGCTGCCGCGTCGGAGGCACAGCCCCCAGAACCCCAGGGACAGAGTGGGACGGGCAGGAGGGCAGGGGGCAGCCCTTGTCATCAGCGCCCTGTGGGAGGTGGAGCCCCCCAATTGGGGTGCCAGTCCCAGAACCCCTCCTCTCCTCCCTCAGGGAATTCTGAATCCCACCACGCCACCCACCTTCAGCCCCCCCACGATGGACTGAACCAGGCTGCTGGCCAGATGGACAAGCTGGATGCCAAGGTGGGTGTTAGGCCAGAAGCCAGCCGGAGACCAGGCCAAAAGCCCCGGGGCTCTCCCGGGACAAATGGGCACATGGATGGCCACGCGGCAGGGAACATGGTGCCGACATGTGCGGGCGCCCAGAGAGCACTCCCCCTGGTCTCAGTCCTGGGCTTCCTCAGGGCGGGCGGCAGCGCCGTGCCCAGGTAATGCACGGACACCACTGGGCACCGATGCCAGGTTCCCTCCCAGGACCCCCAGATCCACACGTGGGGATGGGCTGGGGGCCAGGCGCGCTGGTTGTTACCGAGTCGCAGCTCCTGGGCGGCCGCTGGGGAGGGGTGGTCAGCGGCACCGGGTCTTAGGGCTGCTCAGGTGTATCGGTGCCAGTAGACAAGGGTCCACCTCTTCCCGCAAAGCACACCTGCAGCTCCACCGGACTGGACTGACCGGGCCCTGGCCAGCGGCCGGAAGGAGTGGGTGTCCCCTGCAGCCGCGCAGCGTCCTGTCCCTGGGTCACCAGCTGCTCACTGAGCTGTCAGATGAGAGCTACTGCTCGGCCCCCCTCCCCCCCCCCCCCCCCCCCCCAGCCACTAGGCAGTGCGATCGATCGCCACTGTGATCCAGGAGGAGGGGTGGGGGAGGAGATGGCAAATTGGGGCTGCAACAGATGTGACCCCTGCCTCCCTCCCGGGCTGGGCCTGGGGGTCTGAGAGCTGAAGCCCGAAGCAGAGAGGACTCCAGAGTGTCAGGAAGGGGTTAGGCAGAGGTCACATCAGCCTGGAAAGGAGCCTCCCATTGTACAGGAGGAGAGACTGAGGCTGAGAAAGGAGAAGGGATGTTTAGGGGCCCACTCTCCTGCCCTCGGCACAACACTTCGGGCTGCCTGAGCAGGATGGCGGGGTTGGGGAGCTTTGGGGAGCGGCGAGCTTTGGGGAGCGGCAAGCTCTGGGAGGCGGGAGCTCGGGCTCTGCGGGTGGCGGGTGGGGAGAGGTGGGTGAATATCTCCCTGGGTTTCTGCTCGCTGTGATGCCATGGTGATGCCTAGAAGGGTGGGGGAGGGAGGGAGAGAGAGGAAAGGAAGTGGGGAGAGGAGCAGGAGCAGGAAGAGCAGGGGGCGCGGGGAGAGGAGGATGAGGGCCCAGCACTTCTGAGGCCGCCTGGAGGGTGAGGCCGAGGGCCCAGCCTGCTAACGCCAGGCCCTGGTGAAGGTCCCCCCACAGCGAGGGGACCTGGGGGGTCCTAGGGCCGGGATCCTCTGGGCTCAGCAGTGCACGAGGAGCATTAACTGCGGGCTGATGCCCTGGGGGGTGGGGGGTGGCCCTTCCAGGGGAGACTGTTGAGCCTGAAAATGTGATCAGTTGGATCTGCTTATGCCTGGTCCCCGAGGCCGGGCATGGGGTGGAAGTTTTGTGCACTTTTGATGGGTCAGGAGCTACCTTCAGAGAAAAGTCCGCCCGGGGGGGGCCCGGGGGGGGGGTTCAGGGGGGGATGGAGCGCTCTGACTGCTGGCGTCGGGTTAAGGCCCCATCAGAGGGGCCCCCACTCCCACCTCGTACCTCCTTCTCCCCAGACTGCCCCTTCTCTCCAGTCGGGGCTGCAGGCTCCCAGGCCCAGAATCCCAAGATGGCTTCACTCCTCCTTCCTGAACCTTTCGCCAGCACCCCCTCATTCTCGGCCCCCCCTCTCCATTCCTTGGCCAGTGGAAAGATTCCGGAGACCCGGTGTTCAGGAATACCTTCCCCGGCGATCTCTCCCGGCCTCCCCGCACTGGCTCTCTCCCCTCCCCCTGCCTCTCACCATCCAGATCCCCAGCCCCCAGGGATCTGTCCAGGGCGCTGGCGGTCAATAGCCTGGCTGGCCCTGCTAGAGGCTCTGACCTCATCCCTTAACTCTTTGAGTCCAGGATGGCTTTTTCCTCCCTTGACACGGACAGGGGCCACCCATGCCCACGCCTGTCTTACCTCCCACCCGCTTCCCGCAGCAGGTGAAGCAGGGCTCCCTCGGTCCAGTCCTGGCCCCCAGGTGAGGATGCCCGCGGCTGTTCTCCTCCTGTGCTCTCAAGCCAGCCCCGCAGGGCCTCGCCCAGGGGACAGGGACCTGGCAGGTGAGGACAGACAGGCCTGGAGGGAACAGAGGGGCCACACTCAGGAGCTGGTCCTGCCCCCTGCAGGCTCGTCCTCATGCCCCGGCCCGGAGCCAGGCAGGACGACTCCGCGTACACACGCATGTATTTGTTCCACGGATGTTTATTGAGCAGCTACTGTGCGCCAAGCACAGGTTCAAAGCCGTGAACGAGGCAGACACAGCCCCTCCCCTGCCTGTCAGAGAGCTGCAGCTGCACCTCCCCCTTCCCACCACACTGTCATCATACATCACACAGACAGACGCCAGGCACTGTCGCGCGCGCACACAAGCCAGATCCTAAAGGAGGGCTGACCCCTCCCCGGTGACTGATTCACCCCGGGGCTTGGCCAAGCTTGGCCAGATGGACGAGGAGGCTGCTGAACCCCCTATCTCCACAGAGCAGGGGTTTTTTTTAAATATATTTTTATTGATTTCAGAGAGAAAGGAAGAGGGAGAGAGAGATAGAAACATCAATGATGAGAGAGAATCATGGATCGGCTGCCTCTTGCACGCCCCACACTGGGGATCAAGCCCGAAACCCAAGCATATCCCCTGACCAGGAATCGAACCGTGACCTCCTGGTTCATAGGTGGACGCTCAGCCCCTGAGCCACGCCGGCCGGGCCCCACAGAGCAGTTTAGAATAGAGATCGAAGAGGTTCGCCTCAAAGGAGCTGCGGCAGCCAAATCCTGGTGGCATTGCTGACACACTCGCTGGACGGTCCTTCAGGTCACTAAGCCTCAGCTGCCCCTTTAGCAACTCGAGGAAAATAGAACCTACTTTGCAAGGAGTTATAACAGGCCGAGTAGAGCATGCGGATAACGCTGATGGCCACGTCTGGTATATTGTGAGCCGTAAATACCAGTTGCGGTAATAATATTAAGGAGATTATGTAAAGTTCCCAACAACCTTCATCAGGAGGCCGCGCCCTGGACAGAAAAGCCCCTCCCCGCCTCCTTGTCCCCCAGACGTGACACCCTCGGAGGATGAGTCCCAGCCCATCCCCACAAGCTACGCACTCGCCCACCCCTTCTGACTCTTACTCAGCAATGACGCCCTCACACTCACTCACCCCGCAGAAGGGTCCCCGGGTCGGAGCGGGGCCTTGCCCAAGGTCACACAGCGAGACGAGAGCAGAGATGGGGCTTAAAGCTAGGCAGAGGCAGTGGGGGAGTCCGGGGGGAGTCCTCCCTCAGCCCCCTGCATCCCCATGGACTAACTCCGCCCCCAGGGATGTTTCACAGAACAGGAGAGGCTAACACGGCCTCCAGCCTCCCCCTTTCACCGAATGGCGGACTCTAAGCTCCTCCTCTGCAGAGGTTCTGGGGCTGCTGGACCCTGGCACCTGGCTCAGCCCGGGGCTCCATCCCCAGCGGAACCAGCCACAGTCGCAGAGCCTCCTGGTCCCTCCACAACCATCATCTCGCTGACCTTCGTGGCCTTGAACAGGCAGAGGGCTGTTCCCTGTCAAGGTTAAGGAGACCCGCCCAAGGGCACACAGTAGGCCTCTGGGGGCTTCTCCTGAGCACATCACCGTCCCAGCGAGATCTAGGGAGGACCTGCTTCTGGGTTTAGAGGACGGGCCAGGCCGTGGACAGCTGCTCAGAGCTGCATCCCCAGAGCTCAGAAGCCCCGGGGGCTGGCAAGAATCAGGGTTCAGTTCCCCGGAACCTCTACTGTCCTCCCTCCCAGGCGGGCGGCCTTTGTCCTCACAGCTGATAGGCCGGCTGAGGGGGAGGATGCAGACCTTGGAGC